TGTGTGTCTGTGTGTGTGTGTGTGTGTGTGTGTGTGTGTGTGTGTGTGTGTGTGTGTGTGTGTGTGTGTGTGTGTGTGTGTGTGTGTGTGTGTGTGTGTGTGTGTGTGTGTGTGTGTGTGTGTGTGTGTGTGTGTGTGTGTGTGTGTGTGTGTGTGTGTGTGTGTGTGTGTGTGTGTGTGTGTGTGTGTGTGTGTGTGTGTGTGTGTGTGTGTGTGTATGTATGTATACATGCACACACACATTTATGTTTATGTATATAGAGGTTGGAAGAGAGTGTAGGGCGGGAGACTCAGAGGCTCCAAAAATACAACATCCACTCCTTACACCACTTCCAACATTTTTGTTTACATTAATTTTTTTAAGTAAAAGTTGGAGTTTTTTCATCTATTGTTGTTTATGATTAGTGTAAAACTGATGAAGGTGTAAAACTTTTTGACATAGCATCTATATAGCAGGGCAACACGGTGGCGTAACTGGTAGAGCTGCTGCCTCTCAGCGAGCAGGTCCTTGGTTATAAACCCCTGTCCAGGGGCCTTCTGGGTGGAGTTTGCATGTTCTCTCCGTGCATGCGTGGGTTTTCTTCAGGTGCTCCGGTTTCCTCCCACAGTCCAAAAACATGCATGTCAGACTGATTGGTAACTCTAAATTGTCCCTAGGTGTGAGTGAGAAAGTGAATGATTGTTTGTCTCGTTTGTCTCTATGTGGCCCTGTGATGGACTTGCGACCCGTCCAGGGTGTACCCCGCCCCTCACACAGTGATTGCTGGACATGGGCACCGGCGACCCCCGTGACCCAAAATGGAATAAGCAGGTAAAGATAATGGATGGATGGATGGATGGATGGATGGTATTTGAGACTCAAATTGTTCTAAGATGACAGCAACCTACTCAGACTAGCCGCTAACTTCTGTCTGCTCTGATAAACTCTCTCCTCAGGGATGTGTGCTGAGCCACCTCCTGTCCACTCTGCTCACATATGTTTGTGCACCTACCCATCCAGGCTGTAACATTAGAAAGTTTGCAGATGATACAGCGGTGGTGGGATGCATCACAAACAATGATGAGTCCAGCTACAGGCAGGAGGTGGTACACCTGGAGAGCTGATGCAAGGACAATAACCTTCATTGAAGAAGACAAAGGAGATGATTGCGGACTTCAGAAGGAACAAACCCCCCCCCCCCCCAAAAAAAAAAAAAAAAAAAAAAAATATATATATAT